ATTAGGACCTTAAAATAATTATTTGGGCTATTATTATGAGTTATATTGAGTGTTATTTAATGCTTATATAATAATAATAATAGCTAGACTATTAATTAGTCGCGGTTAACGTCAGACTAAACCCTAGTCATATTGATACTAGGTTTTGTCGAGGAAAATTGTGTTAAGAGTAACGAAGTGTTGTCCAAGTTCCGAGTCACCATCTTCTCAAGTGAGTGCATGGTTCCTTTCATCTTACACATAAATATGAAGTATTTTAATATAAATTACATGCTATGCGTGCATATTGTCTGAATACTTGTTATCTATGCTGGTGAAAGATTTTTATACATGTTTTAAATGATGTAAACTGTACAAAGTATTTTATATCTACAAAATATGTTGGGTAAAACATGGGTAGATGAATGATGAGGGATAAAAGCTGAAATAGAGGAACATTAGTAGTACGGACCTAGCGCCCTATAGGTATACATTGGCAGCAGTGGACCTAGTACCTTATAGATGAACACTGGTAGCTGCGCCACAACCCGTAGATGATTTAGATCTATGGTAAACGTCCTAGCAGCTGCGCTCTAAGGACAATATCGGCAGCTGCGCCTAATAGGGAGCCTTATGACCATGACAGTAGCGTTTAAAGGTCAATACCGGCAGAAGCGCCCATAGAAAATGTCCCAATTCTGGCAGCAGCGCCTAAGTGATAGAACTAGCAGCTGTGCTTGACAGCTGTGTCATTGAAAAAAATGGACTTCGTACATACTCCTTAGGATAATCCTTAGGAATGAATGAATGAGAAATAGCTAATCCTTAGGGTAAATCCTTAAGAAGATATTGGGAATGGGTAATTGGGTTGATTGTTTGATGTTTAAATATAATAATTATATTATTGTGGGTTGAAAACCCTATGTACTCACCAGGTTTCCCAACCTGACCCACTCCAACTTATTTGTATCACAGGTGTCGATACGAAGCTACTTTACACTGAGAGATTTAAAAGAGATGTAGATCACTAGTGTAAATGAATGTAAGTTTTATTTATGCTTATGTTCCTATATTGACGATGACATCCCAATGTTTTAAAATAAATAAAAAAAATACATTTCTTCGGAAATGCTTTGATAACGTAATTATCATGTTTTTATGGGGACAAATTCCGCAACACTCTTATTAAAAAAAAGTCGTTTGATTTTTATAAAGCATAAACAAAAATCGGTCTTTTCTGGCCGTGAAAATTGGGGATGTCACAATTAAACACTTTACTGGTAAGTTTCTAGTTTTATATACCAAAAGTTCTGATTTGAAAAGTATGTTTTGTACTAGAAAATATGCATTGAATTAGTGTCTTATGACCTGAACCATACCTGGTATCCCTTATGATGACTTAATGTATACGTAACATATGTATAACTAAGATCGAATAGATAATAGACTGGGTGAATCCACTCTAAGCCCACAACCAAACAAGGAACAGGAAATAAAGCGAAAAGCACACATCCTATTACCTGTCAGATCCTATTAATATATATATATATATATATATATATATATATCCCTTGATGTATACATTAAGGAATCATAAGGTTAGCATTATGGTTCCCTTCTACTGAATGTACCAGACCCGACTGTTCTGTTTGTCGTTTTGAAAAGATGTAAGTTTTCCCTAGTTTATAACTATTTGAACTCAAAAATAGATTGCATTAACTTTCAAGTGGAATTGTCACTTTATGAAAGTAATGGGAAAATGTAAGTACATAGTTGTCTTTTGAAATGACAACTGGAGTACTGATTACCTTAAAATAAGTATGTTTTATTAAGGTCATGATGTGAAGTCTAGTACCCATACTATATGCTCTCCTTGTCAAGAGATTCTGGGAACCAAACACGACTTCAGCAAACCAGTTGCTAGGCCGTGTAATCCACATTAAAGTTATGTGATCATGTATACCCAATTTAACTATCACCTTTTGTTTCGAAAAATCAGTTAGTGATTCATTGGTATAATTATATCCTGTAGTAGTTCCATGCTATAGCATCTTAGTAAGTTCATTATGTTATAGTATCTTATTATGTTCTTTCTGTTATCGTGTATTGTATCTTCCTCCTCGTTTCTCTTTATTGTGTGTTCTCTTATGTTGTCGTGTATTGTATCTAGTATGAACTAGACCTCTAAACTATACCCCTTATAGTTTACTAGTGTTTTACTTGAACTGTTGTTGAAAAGACTCATTTTACTACTAAGTTATGCTTGTACTTTAAAAATGGAGTTTTGTTAAACTAAAAAGTAACTTAACTTTAAAAGAATTTTTGAAATGTTTTGATCGCTTATAAAAGACATAAGCAATATTTTGAACGATGTTTATAACAAACATTTACACAATTATCATTTGTGTTCAACGTGTATTCCCCCCTTAAAAGCATTTAAAACAGTTTAAAATATTGATTACGAGGTATGAACTCACCTGATGTGGGTGATTCAAACGAATATGCACGCAAGGATGAGAAGCTCCACAAATGAAGTCCCAAGACTTAACGAGTCCTAAATGACCTATAATGGAATATATTGACATAAATATAGTGTTTAGAAGCAACCAAACGCAAGGAAACACCTCACGGGACTAGGAAACACTTTTGACCAAGTGTTGGAATCACATGTGATTCAACTAAGGGGAGTGTACGACCAATATGAAGAGTATACGACCATGGGTGTATGGCCACGGAGTGTACGGCCGTACACTCATGGTACTAAGTGCACAAAAACATTTTCCAAGGGTAGGAATGCTTGTGGGATAATTGTTCTTCAAGTGGTGAAGTTGGAAATGCACTTTGAAGGCCCTTTAAGGGTGTTTTGAGGGGTGTACGTCCGTACACACCTTATGTTCTTGAGTTCTAGGCATTTTTAAGGTGTAAATCTAGTGTTCTTAACAAGATCTAAGCATAGGGAAAGAGTACTTACGATTCAGAGGCTTAAGAAGGCTCAAAATCACCAAGAACAAGTATATGTTCTTTGTGTTCTTGGTGAGACTTGAAGATCTAGCCAAAATATGATTTCCATGGATGGAATCAAAGGGTGTTACTAGGTTAAAAGGATTAACAACAAATGAAGGGAAGAACACTTACAAATTTTGAAGATCAAGATGAAAAACGGATGGTAGTTGAGAGAGAAATCAAGTGTTCTTGAGGTGGAAGTGCAAGAATTAAGGAAAAATGAAGGATAACACTCTTATGGAGGGAGGTGTACGGTCCAACATGGGTGTACGGCCGTACACTCCTTCAAATGGAGTGTAGTGCTCGATTTTGGTGCTAGAAGTGTACGCGATCCAATCCTATTTTCAATGCTTGGATATACTGAGCTTTTAACCTTTGAACGGACTCTAAACAAGGCTAAATGATAGCAGAAATGAGTCTGGCACTCAGTTGAGATGACTGGATGGGCTTTACAAGTCAAGAATTTTCAGGTTGTCACAATACTCCAAGTCTCCAACGACTGACTTGCACCGGTCCTTCTCTCTATCAGCTTCAAAGGTGTGTATTTTTCGATCAACTTCAAGCCTTCAACTGGAAATCTTTTCTGTAAATCTTAATACCCTGTATGGGTGTAGTTAATTGTTTAGTATTATTTTAGTATAGGTATTAGTGTAATGTTGTATATGATACCTTGTATTGTTAATGAAAGATGAAATGCAAGAAGTTTCTTTAAAATATGCATGAATGTACTGTTGTGATTGTGTCTTAACTTAGCTAGTTATGTATTTATTCACTTGTTTATTAACTAATTAACTGATTAACTTACTTAGTTATGCATCTATTAACTGATTAACTGAATCAGTTATGCATTTATTAACCGATTAACCAGTATGTATCTAATTTTCATATTCTTGTCATTAATATCACTAAATTGTGTAACTTTATCTTTGATTTGTCTTTGAAATAGATATGGCTAGTAATGATCCGGGATGACAATATGGGATAGTAGTTGAATGAAAGGGTAATCAGTGGGTGATATGTACTTTTTGTAATAAAACAACCAATGGTGGAATTACAAGACACAAGCATCACCTTTACTAGTGATTCCGCCAAAGTACTAAAATGTCCCAAAGTTCCAATAGAAATACAAAAAGTTTTTAAAGTTGCTTTTGATAAAAAGAAACAAGAAAAAGAATCAACAAACAAATTACCCACTTTGATGATGATGTTGTAGATATAGATGAATATGAAGAAACTACAACTAATAGTGAGTTTTTCCAATTAAAAGGCAAGAGGCCTATTTTGTCGAGTGGCTCAACCGCAACCACTAAAAGGTCCGTGAAAGGGCCTTTGGATGTAATGTGGCTGCCATGTGATAAAACGGGGAAGAAAAAGGGTTATTTGGTTGGAACCTCTGAACATAAAGAAGTCCACAAAAGGTTAAGGCTTGATGCAGTTCAAAAGATATGTCGTTGGATGTATGATGTGGGTATTGCATTCAACGCTGTGAAGTATGATAGTTTTGGGCCCACACTTGAAGCGGTTGCTCTACATGGTTGCGGTATGAAACCCCCTAGCTATCATGAGGTACGTGTTCCCATGTTGAATCTAGAGATGGAGCACACAAAAACACTTTTGACATTAAATGAGACGGAGAAGAAGTCATTCGGATGTTCTTTGATGGCTGATGGTTGGAGGGACCGAAAAGGAAGATCACTTATTAACTTCCTAGTAAATACTCCACGAGGAAGTATGTTTATAGAATTAGTAGATGCTTCTGCTTGTTCTCACACATGTGTTTTTTGTAGTTTTTTTTTTTTTTCCTTTTATATGCTGTTTTTTCCTGTTTTTTTTTTCTGTTTCTAATAGGTGAATATTTGTTCAAATTGTTTGACCACTTCATAAAAAAAATCGGCTTGGAAAATGTGGTTCAGATTGTAACGGATAGTGCTAGCAACAACGTTTTAGCCGATTGACTTGTGGAAGAAAAATATCCACATTTTTATTGGACTCCGTGTACGGCGCTTTGCATTAATTTGATGCTTGAGGACATATTTAAATTGCCTCATCTTAAAAAGACACTTGATAGAGAAAAAGCGGTCAATAGTTACATCTACAACCGCACCTTGCTCTTGAATATGATGAGATATTTCATGGGCCAAAGAGATATGGTTAGACCCACAAAGACCCGATTTGCAACCGCCTTCATAACTTTTAATTGCTTTAGAAATCATAAGAAAAATTTGAAGAAGATGTTCGCATCTGAAGCGTGGAACAAAAGCAAGTTCCCGGGCGAGGCGGGAGGAGGAGGAAGTAAACCGTCAACACTATATTTTCTCCTAATTTTTGGACCAATATAGATATTGTGGTCAAAGTTGGTGAGCCTTTGTTAACGGTGCTTTGATTGGTAGATAGTGAAAAAAAGCCTCTTATGGGGTACATCTATGAAGCCATGGATATAGCAAAGGAAAGAATTGCCTCGTCTTTTAAAAACAAAGAAGACAAGTATAAACAATTTTTTGAAATAATCGATAAGAGGTGGAATTGTCAACTACACCAAGATTTGCACGCGGCTGGCCACGAATTGAATCAGGGATTATATTACAACAACCCGAGCGTGGAAGATGATAGTGAGGTGATTACGGGATTGATGGAATGCATACATAAGTTGTCATTGTCGGAAGAGGATGAGTTGAAGATGTACACCGAGTTACCTACATATAGAGGTGCACAAGGGATTTTTGGGATTTCGATGGCTAAAAGAATGAGATACGATTGATCCAATCATTTTGGACGAATCGAATGTTCAAGATCCGAATGATTGGTTGGAGGGGGAAGAAGATGATCTTGTATTTGAGGGTGATAACTTGACATGGGATGTAGTTGCGGAGGCTATGGGGGTGGATGAGGAGCCTTATACTACAAGAATAACGAGTAGGAGGAAAGAGGGTGCCGAGTCGAGCTCGCGATCTAGAGGAGCACAAATGATAGATGAAGATGAAGAGGAAAATGATGTTGGGGCTTATAAAGAGGTTGTAGAAGAAGAAGTGGATGATGAGACCATATACGAGGATTTGGACGATTTGTGAATCGTATTTTAAAGTCTAAGATTAATTATGAATACTTGTTCTTTTTTTTTTGTTGCAATATGCATGTTTTAGACCTTAGTTGAACTATAGTCTTTAGGGTTTTAGCTTATTTATTAGTTATAATTTCTAACTAGGTGAAGGTAAAAGTAATATTAATTTTTAGTACGTATTTTCTAAAAATGAAATAGTCGTCGCTATTTCGTCGCTATTGCTATATAGCATGGTGATAGGTTGTCGCTATGCCCCCACTATCACCATTGATAACACTGCATCAAATAAGGTTGTTCAGTTATTGCTTATTTTGTAAGTACATGGAACTTTTGACAACGCTTCTCTATCATGGTATGCAAAATTAAGGAATTCATTCACACCTAACTCATATATTGGGTCCTTTTTCCTATGAACTATATTCATCCCAGACTTTTCCATATGCTATGGTAAAAGAAAAAATCTTGAAAATTACATAAGTATATAATGACAGTGGTATAGAAAACTCAGGTGGGGTTGTTAAATAAGCAATAAGTTAATCTAAAGTTGAGAAAAGGGAATCACTCTAGATAATTTCAAGTTATGTTGGTCAGATTTGGAAGGCTCAGGTCGAGGGTATGAAGGTGGAGCATCGAAAGTGTGAGCGAATCATAGGGCAGGTAGTTTCATTCGACTATGATAGCCGTTGTTTTTTGACCCTGCATTGTAGGGTCTGGGTTCCTTAATGGGGGCGGTGTACGACAGGTTCTAATGGAGGAGGCTCACAATTCGAGATTCTCCATGCATCCCGGGGCAACAAAGATGTATCGGGATCTTCGCCCTGAGTATTGGTGGCCCTGCGTGAAGCGGTACATAGCTTGGTATGTGGAGTAATGCTTGACTTGTAGGAAAGTCAAGGCTGAGCACCAGCGACATCACGGAAAGATTCAGCCGTTGGAGATTCACGTGTGGAAATGGGAGGACATCACTATGGATTTCATCATAAAGCTTTCTAGGACCGCACGTGGAGTAGATTCGATTTGGGTCATCTTGGATCGGTTGAACAAGAGTTCACATTTCATCCCGATCCAGGAGAGTATATTGGCTGAGAAGCTAGCCGAGATCTACGTATGTGAGGTGGTGGCACGTCATGAAGTGTCGGTTTTGGTTGTGTCAAACCGAGATGTTCGCTTCACTTCCATATTTTGGAAGCGTTTTCATGACGAGATGGGCAATCGTCTTCACTTAAGTACAACTGTTCACCCTCATATGGATGGGTAAAGTGAGAGGACGAAACAAACTCTTGAGGACATGCTACGTTCATACGTATTAGATTTAGGAAGCAGTTGGGATACGTATCTTCCGGTAGCAGAATTTTCATATAACAACAATTACCACGCTAGCATAGATTGACCTACCTTTGAGATGCTCTACGGGAGGAAATGTTGGACCCCAATATGTTGGGGTGAGGTAGGACATAGGGTCATAGGGAGTACCGAAGTGGTACTCAAGACAACGGAGAAAATCCAACAGGTCCAGAGTAGACTCTAGACGACCCATTTGGGAGAAAATCTATGCCGACAGACGCCGATCGGACCTGGAGTTTTAGGTCGAGGATATGGTCCTTCTGAAGATGTCACCTTGGAAAGGTGTCATACACTTCAGAAAACGGGGAAAGTTGGGCCCTAGGTACATCGTACCTTTTAGTGTTATAGGTCGGGTGGGCAAGGTGGCATATAGGTTGGATCTTCCGGAAGAGCTTAGACAGATCCACAACCCTTTTCATGTTTCGCAGCCGCGGAAGTGCATAGTTGATGATACAATGGTGGTCCCTTTGGAGGATATTCAGGTGGATGGCAGCCTGAACTACATCGAGAGACTGATAGCCATTCTCGACAGGAAGACAAAGGATTTGAGGAATAAGAGGGTAGAGTTGGTGAAGGTGTGGTGTCAGCACCACAAGGTCTCGGAATAGACGTAGGAGTCGGAGGCTGAGATAAGTGAGCAATACCCTGAGTTATTTCCAGTAGCAACAGACTTCGAGAATGAAGTCTTAGATAAGTGGGGGAGAGTTGTAACGCCTAGTTCCTGGTATGTATTTAAATTATAATTAATAACTTTTATATAGAAACTCGACGAGTTCGAGACCCCAAACTCGTCGAGTAGAGATAAATTGGACCGCCGATTTGAAGACCTACTCGACGAGTTGGGAGGCCTCAACTTGATGAGTAGGCTGACATAAATGAAACCCTAATTTTGGGGTTTTGCACCTTATTTAAACACCTTAACCCCAAGGTGTTGGCTTCATCTCCAGCCTCCACTATCCAAAACCGTAACCTCGAAACCCTAAGCCATTTTAAGTGATTGTGAGCTAATTTTGTGCATTCTTGGTAAGTTTGAAGAAGAAGAAGCTTGAAGGGGGAGCAAGAACATATGGGAGGAGCATAGATCCAAAAGTTAGGCTTAATTTCTGGTTCATCCGAGGTATAAATAGACCTGGCAATTTCAAACACGAAGACATGAATCTGTGTGAGACACGACACGACAGGAATACATGACACGAATACATCTTAATTGAGATAAAGCTTATTTCTCATCGTGTAATCGTATCGTGTCAAATTCGTGGCTGACACATTTTCATAACACGAACACACGAATTTCCAGGTCCAGGTATAAAGATTCAACATCATCCATGGCATGCTTATGTAGCACCTAGTTCTTGATACGTATTCTGTTATTAAATCTTTATTTATTTTGCATTTTTTGTCTTGGACTCGGCGAGTTGAAGGACCAACTCGCCGAGCTGAAGCGGGATGAGGCGCGGAGTTTAAGTCATGGACTCGCCGAGTCGGGTCCCGGACTCGGTGAGTAGCTGCTGTTTGGACTAAAACCCTAATCAAGGGGTTTTGAACCTATTTAAGCAGACTTATGTAGCCTATATTCCCCTTTTATGCTCCCAAACACTTCTCATACTAAACCCTAGCCGTTCTTGAGAAAATCTAAGGCTTTTGAGTGATTCTTGTGAGTTTTGACCTCAATGAAGAAGGAAGAGCATAGAAGGATCAAGAGGAGACTGAAGGATTCGAGTTTGGTTCATCATTTGTAGTCTACAGAAGGTATAAAGTATGAAACTTGCTCATTCATTTGTTAGATCCCTCTTTGAGGTGAATTAGGGCTTTTATAAGCCATTTTTGGTGGCCAACAATGTTTGCAAACATGGTTGGGTGCTTGAGCTTCTGGATCATGTCATTATTGGAGTCACAAGACAGATTTGGGTTGCTTTTGCACCCAAGGAAGGCCCCATGCAACAAAATGACCATTTTAGAGCTTTTTAAGCTCAAAAGTCCCATGCATGCACGTAAAGTTTGTAACTTTACATGCTAGATCGAGTTTAGGGGCTTGGATCTATCTTTTGGACAAGTATTGTACATCAGAAATCGAAGTTTTAAGGAGGGGATGTGACCAACTCGACGAGTACATTCTTGGACTCGATGAGTCTAAGGGTTTCATCGCATATCAGTGAGGGTCAAAAGGACTAGTTGAGTGTGGAAAGGTTTTAGGGAGTCCCAGGGAGTGACCCAACATTCTAGACTAAGCAAATTGTTCTAGAAATTCATGGTACTCGGCGAGTGCATGAACGGACTTGGCCAGTCCAAGGCAATCTCCTTAGAACTCGGCGAGTTGTTCATCAACTCGCCGAGTTGAGGACGGGTCTGGTTCATCAGATGAAGGCCAACTTGATGAGTTGTTCATCACCTCGGCGAGTCAGATGAGCTTTCATGGCGCGTTCGGATGAGAGAAGAACTCGTCGAGTTGACGACCCAACTCGACGAGTAGGGTCGTGGATGAGGACGAGTAGAGAGTGAGGGACTCGGTGAGTTGTTGTCCCAACTCGGCGAGTCGGGTCAACTGGAAGTTGACCTTGACTTTGACTTTGACTTGACTTGGCTGGGGGTAAAATGGTTATTTTACCCTAAGAGTATAGAAATCAGTTTCTAACCGAGTATTTGTTGGGTTTGTAGCCGGTGGATTTCCGGAGCAACAGCGGACGGAGGTTTCCTGCACTGATTATCAGTAGCTACCCGTATGAGGTGAGTTACCTTCCAGTAGGGGTGGGTCTAAGGCCACAATGTCGGCCCACCAATGAGGAGTACTTAGAAGATGATTGTCTATGTGATAATTATCTTGGTCTGGTATGTGCTTGGTTATGAGTTATATATGTATGATATGTTACGTGCATGATAGGGATAGTGGTCCTTAGGACCAAGGGGTAGATCAGTACCCGGATATGCCTGACTGTAAGCTTATATTTTGTTATTGTATGCTAGTGGTAAGGGGTGGAATAGTCCCCAGTTACCGGTTGAAAGATACAGATGATGATTACCGGTTGAAAGATACCGATGACGATTACCGATTGAAAGATACTGATGATGATTACCGGTTGAAAGATACCGATGGTATTGTATGATATGTGGTATGATGGGGGAACTCACTAAGCTTTGTGCTTACGGTTTCAGTTTTTGGTTTCAGGTACTTCTTCGTCTAAGGGGAAAAAGTCGGCGGTGTAGCATGGCATCACACATACATCTGATTTTCCGCACAGTGTTTTCTGGGATTGTCCTCTGATATGATATTTGTTTATGTTGTGGGTTTTCAAACATGATACTTGATTTTATGAGATAACGTGTTTATACAATATTTTCTAGTGAATGTTTTATGAGTTAATTAATTAAAAAGGAGAATTTTGTGATGTTACAAGTTGGTATCAGAGCTCTGGTTTGGGGGATTCGGACACACCCTCGGTGGTGTCTGGACTCAAACTGAGGGGAAAAAAGATTTTTACAATAAAATGGTTTCTAAAAATCGAAACAGAAGGATTTTAAGAAAGACAAGGTCTATGATGCCTGAGACCGGCCGGGATCAAGTACGTTTTCCCCAAGATACCCATACTTGTTATGTTATGCTATATGGCTTTGATTCAGAATCACATGCTAGAATAGGACTAAGGATCTAGGAGGATTCCTTGTATGCCT